TGGGAATACAAGCATGTGCCACTATACCTGGACTTGGTGGCTGGCTCAGTGCGCCTGAGGGCAGGGCCAGCATGGCATGTGGTACCAAGGATCGAACCCTGGTCCCTGTGCTTGCCTAAGCAGGTGCTTAGTCTGCTGAACTATCTTGTAGGCCCTCTCATCCATTATGAACCTCTTTATCACAATAAATTAGGAAGACAGGGCTCCTGGTTGGAACCCATTCATTTTGGGAGTTTATAGGTGATCTCCTAGGGACAGGCTAAGTATGGGTCAGGTAACTTTGACAGGAATTTGTTCTAATTGTTTATGATTCAATCTAAAGTTCTGATAGCCTTAGTGATGAGCAAAGGATCTTAGTTGAAGCAGTGAAATCAACTTCTGGCAATAGGTTGATTCCAGTCAATTTCTTTGGGCAATTGTCAGCCTAGTACATTTTGTAGGTAATTTCCTATGGTAGACTCTGAACTGTGTGGGCCCATACATTTATTCAACACTCTACTTCTCAAAGGCAAGCCAAGTACAATTACTTAAGTCCCCAGATAGTGGGAAATATGTATGGTGTACCTATCAATACAAAGTTGGCTGGACACTCAGCAATATTTTGATTAGTAAAAACATCTTGCTTTCATAATGAGGTTTTAAATCCTGTGTAGTGTCACAGTGCTCCTGAGTAGAATCATGATAACTGATCAGAGTAATGAGAAATGACAAGCTATTTGGTCGACTATGAGAATGGGTCAATTAGAATGTCAGATGATATTAACTGCATTTTTTAAACAAGATTTGGGTGAAATATACCATTTTCGTGGAATAGTATTTTTCCTTGTAGATAAGTTCCTAAGTGATTTTTACACTTTGAAACTGTAATGGTTGATTGACTGTGTCAATTTGAGAAACTTGGAAACTTAACTAAATAGGCTCACCAACTGTACATCCTAGGGCATAGAGAACACACCCTAGGGCTGCTCATCACCTGGATGGTATAAAGGGGAAATGAGGAAGGATGGAGTTGCTTCCTGTCTTCACCTTATTTTGGATACCATCTCTTGGCTTCTAACACAGACTTTTCAACTTCCCCCTCAGATCCTTCAGCCTTCTGATGTGTAGACTCTTCAGCCTTCTACCACAGACTCATCAGCCTCCTGATACCAACTTACAAAGAACACTGGAGTGAACTTGAAACCTTGGACTGAATCCTTTGTTCTCTAGTGTTTAAACACCTTGTATATACTTCCTCATCTAACTCTGTGGCTGGCTGTCATAAACCATTCTTTTAATTTCTTACACATTTTTATGCTTTGTGTTATATTTTTTTTAGTAAACCACTGATTGATACACCAACATCTTTCTGGATTTAAGATCTTGCCCCTCCCACATACATAGGAATTCTTTCAGAGAAACGTTATATAGGGCAGATTCTTACCATCTTGTGGCCAAGTTTTGTATTATTTTGGACAAAGGGATGCAATTTCATTTTTGGAATGCTTTTTAGATTATAGAAAGATATTTCTCTAATGTTCACTCATGTGCAGTGCCATGTCACTTGATAAGGGAAAAAAATTTCAATTTTGAGGCTGAAGAAATTTAAGTGATCACTTGATTTTATTATAGGTCTAACAGTGACATCCTTCTGACATGTCCTGAAGTGCATTTAAAATATGATTAAGTTAATAGCAATTTGTCTTACAACTTTTCATGAGCCCCTTTTTCTGAGAATGAAGTTGCTAAGAATTATTATCCACATACTCCCATTGTAGGATAAAATTTAATTTTAACAAAGGGATTCCTGATTATTGGACTGAGTGTCACCAAAGAAGTGAGACATTAGAATGTGGAAGGGCTTGTGAACAGTAGTAAAGGCCTTTACAAAGAGCAGGGAGTAGGGAGACAGGAGAGCTAAAAGCAAAATGATAAGAAAAAAAATTAGTATGGAGGTAGCTGTGACTCAGAGCCAAAGGATTGCCTTAGTGTTATTTCTCAGTGACCTGAGGAATCTCAGACTCCAAAAACCCAAACCTTTGAGCCGATATGAGGAGTCACTTTTTATGGAGCCTATGCCTACTGACATTGCTCTTTTATACTAAGTAGTTCTAGCAGAGATGCTATGGCCCAGTTTGCTTGGAGATACCTAGAGATTTTCAGTAAAAGTAAAGACTCCTTTGTGGTTGAGGTGCTTAAAGGAAAACAAGCAAAAAACCACCTATCTTCCTCAAGAAGGCTTTATAGAAAGAAAATTTTCTATAGAAAATTGGTACATATATCTAACACATTTCAATTTCTTTCTCCTTTTCCTCTCTCCCCCTTTTATTTTTCTAGCCTCAGATTCATTTATTTATCTTATAAAACTTTGAGCTCAAGGGGGTTGAGAATTGCCTCATTCTTAGTCATAAATTATGATTGTTCTGGCAAAAGTTGTTTTGTAGGAGAGGAACTGGGTGTTGTCTCAGTCTCCGGGTAGTCTGAGGGACAGGGTCCACTCTAAGGAAGTCCAGCTGAGATGAACAAAGAGAATTTCGCGAAACTGTGATTTGGCCTAGTTCAGGTGCCAGCTTGATTCTGAGGGTGGTGGTGGTCAGTCTGAAGCCCAGTTCAAAGGTCAGCTGCAGAGATCTGTGAGGCCTGATTTAACAACAACTCCAGTTTCTGTTTCAAGTGCCCCAAATCAATGCTACTCCATTTTAACTTTTTTTGCTAGACTACTGTTTGTTCTAAGAAATAGTAGCTCATAGAAGATAAGATGATTAACTTATTGACATAATTTACCTATGAGGACTGACAGCTTATTAATAAAGTCTTATTAAAGGTCAACTTTTTGTTGTGCCCACCAACCCAAAGTTACTAGGTCAAAAAAATTGGCCCAATCCCAGTTTCCCATTTTATAAAACTTTCTTTCTAATTACCCAGCTCAGGTCCTACAGCTTTATAAAGATCCTGTCTGACTTGCCCTTTTGGGAACACTACTAACACTATCAAGATGGTGTTCTGCCTTACCACAGTGGGTCAGATAAACTTCTTTGCTTGGTAACAGGTGGTTCTGGGAGGTTTTGGAGGACATGACACTATGTAAAAGAGGACACTTGAATCCTGTGCTCTTGGAAGTTCCATTTATCTCTCACTTTCTTCTATTCATGGTGGTGACATTTGCTTCCTCGTAGCTCTCCTTGGGCCATGGATCAAGCCACCTTTATGGATTTTTCTTCATACTTCATTTTTTACTCTCTTTGATTTCAAATACCATCCATTCTAGAGGAATCAGAGACAGGTTCTAGCTGCAGTAGAAAGCTGGAAAATGTTAGTGATGATTGTACAGCAATGAGAACGCCCTTAATGCTACAAAACTGTATCTATCAATATGGTCAAGATAGAAACTTTTGATTTATGTACAATGGAACATTTTTTTTAAAGAAGCTGAAGACAATTTCCTTCTTATAACATTGGTAAAGGTGTCATAGAATCCCAGGAAACTGTGCTGCTGGAAACTATTCTTTTTAGATAAAAAAATAAATAAAATGCCCTGGGACTTGTGCCTGCTAGAGTACAAAAGGGTTCAATGTTTATTTTTTCTCCTTATTTTCCTTTTCCAAGGAAGAGTGAGAGCAGAAACTCCTCCCTTCTATTTAAAGAACTGGATTTCAAACTGACCAATATAAGAACAGTGCCAATAAATACCGAGGACCTGGTTTTGAGTGTGTGGGTTCAGTGTTTTCCTCTATTTTGTCCCAATTTCTGTGCTGGTGATTGGAATGTGATGACAGAAAGGGTGGTGTTATGATTAAGCCTATGTTAAAGTTAGAGTAAGTGTGGATGAAACTTGAGAAGAGAAAGTAGATGTAGATGTGGTCAGAAATTGCACAGCCAATCAGGATATTTGCATATCAGCTTTTTTCTTTGGCAATGGAAGCATAAGGAATATACAATTTATTATACATAAATATAAATCCACTAAACCTGGGATGATTTGATATTGGTGGGGGCCAGTACAAAAGGAAAATACAATATCTTTTGCTCAGAAAACAAGGATAAAGGATCATTAAGGATACCAAAACACACAGCTTTTTCCTTTTCTTCTTGGTCTCTCTCTTTCCTTTTTTTTTTTGGTGGAACTGGGGGTTGAACTCAGGCCCTTGTGCTTGCCAGGGAAGCACTTATTCTACTGAGCCATCTCCCCTGGCCCCCTGTCTCTTAACTTTCATGGCATTTTAAAAATCTATTTAAAGTGGTTCTAAGTAAAAGAACATTAAAATCTTAAATGATTAGTGCACAGGCAAAAAGAACTTTCTTTTCACCCCCTGAAGTTTCAATAATTTCAGTGTATCCAACAAAATACAATAGACAGATTAACAGGTGAAAAGGCATAAGATTTATTAATGAACAAGCTTACAGAAGTCACATAAAGCAGGCAATTAAGAGAAGGGCCAGGTAGTTAAAGCTTAATTACCTTGATCCTAGGGAAGAAGGAAGTAAAGGCTGTTAGAAATTTCACAAGAATAGTAAATGATTGTTAGGGAAGGTGAATGGGCCTGTGAGATAGAATACGGCCTGGGACAAAGTTTGCTTGGGCTTTGGATATGATCCCAGCTCTAGTCTTTCTTCCTGTGAGTTAATCTTTTGGAGAAACTGGCTTTTAGGTAGACAGGATAACTTCTGAGAAATCTTTTCCCTGCACTTTGGGAGGGAAAAAGGGTAAGAGTATTGGGTGAGGAGGACAGAGAAATCTTGGGGTTGTTTTATTTTGGGGGGGTTGTTTATTTGTTTGTTTTGTTTTAAATGTATCCAACATGCCAAAGAATCATGCTTTGAATGTCATCCTCTGTTTGAATGTCATCTGTCAGCCATGATGTTACCACGAATTTTATTATCACCTAACCAGAAAACAATCTATCTTGAATACTAATGATCAAAAATACCAGTCTCCGGCCTGAACGGGGGGTGGGGTGGGTGTGGGTGGCGGGGGGGGGGCGTTGGTGTCATCACCTGGCCTGGTGTGGCAATGTTCCGCTCATCAGCAGTAGCTGCCAGCCAGACCTGCGGGCGGCAACAGCAGCCTGGAGGCTCAGTGCACTTGCGCCATCTGCGTGGAGGTGTACCACCGCCCAGTGGTCTTTGGCAGATGCGGCCACACACTCTGTGGGGAGTGTCTCCAGCCATGTCTGCAGGTGCCTTGCCCCCTGTGCCCACTCTGCCGCCTGCCCTTTGACCTCAAGAAAGTGGACAAGGCCACCCTTGTGGAGAAGCACCTGTCATCATACAAAGCACCCTGCCAGGGATGCAACAAGAAGGTGACCCTGGCAAACATGAGAGTGCACATGACCTCCCGCCTGAAGGTCCAGGAACAGGTGGCCAACTGCTCCAAGTTTGTTCCTGTGGTGTCCACATCCCAGCCCAATCCGAGCATCATCCCCACTGTGGTGCCCGAAACCTAGTCCAGCAGGAGCTGGTGAAGCACTGCATGGAGAGCCACGGCAGTGTCCCAAACCGCGTGGTGTGTCCCATCTGCTCAGTGATACCCTGGGGCAACCCAAGCTACAAGAGCGCCAACTTCCTGCAGCACCTGCTGAACAGGCACAAGTGCTCCTATGACACCTTCATGATGGGTGCTCTTCCCTCTTGGCTGCTGGGTGCTGCTTCCAATATTCCAAGTGCTCAGAGAAGGCCCGAAACAGAAGCTCCCTCATCCCCACCACAGCTGCCAGGGATGAGGCCTGCTCTCGTAGGCCAGCCCCTGAGAAGGCCCTGCCTCCCTGGCACAATCTTGAGGATCCCACCATGTACCCACTCCTTCTGGCATTTCTGGAAGCTGGAGGGACTCCCTGTTACCCTACCACTGTGGTCAGGAGGTGTGCAGATCCCAGGCCTTGACCTCTCTCCCTGTTCCTCCTTTCTGGTGTGGCCCAGGACTGTCTTTTTCCCCTCTCCCAGCTGTTAGATATCTCTGGGGCCCATTTTTTGTGTTCTGTGTCAGGACAGCTTTGTCCCCATGTCCCCCTGAGAGCTAGGCTCCACAGAAGCTGCTAGGCCTGGCCACTATGGGGGAGGCAGAGGGTTGCCTGGTGCCAGGGCAATGGACACCCCAGAGGGACCCTGTGGTGGCAAAAGAGAAAGTGTATCTGGGCGGACTCTGACAAAGGACAGGCTGCTGCTGCATAGTGCCTCTCCATTCTGTCCCAGGACTACAGCATCAATGAAGAAGCTGCCTTCCAGGCTGCCTTCACCCTGCCCCTCACTGAAAACTGAAGGCACAGTGGCCGTGCCCAAGCCTAGGCCAGAGGAGCCACTCTTGGGCCAAATACGAAGAGCTTGGGGGCCGGGATGCCACCTGGCTGTCCCTCAGTGGTCCAGACCCACAGTCCTGGGTCATTGGTGCTTTGTGGGGTAGGTGCCAGCCAGTGGGACTTGGAAAATTTGGCTGCCTCTTCCAAGCCATGACGTTGTCCTTGCATGAAGGTCGGGGTGCCCAGTTGAACTCCAGCAGGAGAGCAGAGAAGCAGCCCAGTGCCACTGCCAGCCTGACCCAGAACCCAGCTATGCTTCCACTGTGCACATTCAGTACTGGCTTCTGTGATACTTAGAAACCTTGGCATTTTTCTATCTTATCCCATGTGATAACCTTTTCATGTTTTATAGAGCAAAGACAAAGCAGTTACACTTCATATTGTAATATCTGTGCTTGACTAGGCAGAATAGTATTTTTATGGGACATTTACAAAATTATATTTTTTAGAAAAAAATAATCAAAAAATAAACCTTGTGTGGGACCAGAGGGAAGGAGCGGCTGGATATAGCTGAAGCCAGACAAGCTGGGGCCTAACTTGGGCCTTGCACCCCAGAGGTGGCACTCTAGTTACCACTCTCATCACTCTGAAGGGGATCTTGCTTGTGGTTTCTCTTTAGTGACAAACAGAAAAAGGTCCCAGCATCTGGCCAAGGCAGTGGCCTCTTCCTACCTGGTCCTCACCTTGGTGTCTGCCATCCCACCTGGAGCAGGGATTCAGGCAGGGAAATTTGGTGGTGGTCGGGCCAGGAAACACTTGTCAGTGCCCCTGTTTTGTTCATGGCATAAATATTGCTGTCTTTTCAAAGAATTTTCAATAAAACAATTCCAAGTAAAAAGAAAAATACCAGTCTCCTTTAGCCTAATCTTGACTTACTTACCATCATGTCCTCTTGCTTGGTGGCTATTCTATGAGGAGGGATGAGCTTTGGGGGGCCCTTAAGAGCCAAACTCTAACAATGTCTGTATGTGGAATCATCAAATAACACAATTTGTATGTTGTAGTTTATATGCATATGGGTATTTCATTCTTAACAGACAGTAAAATGCTGTGTACAAGGAATCTCTCTCTCTCTGTCTCTCTCTGTCTCTCTCTGTCTCTCTCT